ATAGATGGTTAGTCCAAGGAAAATAATTTAGGTAGTGAAATTATATACATCATACACAATTACGCTGCCTTAATTAAAAACAAAAACAAAAACAAACCACATAGGGGCGTCTGGGTGGCGCAGTCGGTTGGGCGTTCGACTTCGGCTCAGGTCATGATCTCACGGTCTGTGAGTTCGAGCCCTGCGTCGGGCTCTGTGCTGACAGCTCAGAGCCTGGAGCCTGCTTCAGATTCTGTGTCTCCCTCTCTCTCTGCCCCTCCCCAGCTCATGCTCTCTCTCTCTGTTAAAAATAAGTAAACGTTAAAAAAAACTTCAGAACGGATAATGAGATGTGGTGTCTCTGGGTCATCAGGCATTTAAAACCTTACCAGAGACTGTCCCATTGCCCTCCAAAGTGGCCAGACTAGTTTGCCTCTGAAGAGCAGTGTGTGACAGTTCTCATCTTCCCATACCCTTCATGGTATGTTCTGGCATGTCCTAAAGCTGCATTTTTCACGAAAATTCTGCCAATCACACTTTTTTTTTTTTCTTTTCTACTCATCCACAAGTAATCCCCACTTATCCACGGTTTTGCTTTCCACAGTTTCAGTTACTTGCGATCAACCCCAGTCCAAAATCAACCCCAGTCCAGAAGCAGATGATTCTCCAGATGGGTCATTAACGGACTGTCAGAAGGTCGATAGCAGTCTAGGACTACATCACATGACCTGTCATTCCTCGCATTTCACCCCGTCACGCGGGCATTTTATCATCTCACATCATCACAGGAAGAAAGGTGACTACAAGATATTGAGAGAGACAGACAGACAGACAGAGAGACAGAGACAGACTCCACATTCACATAGCTTTTATTACAGTATCTTGCTATAACTGTTCTATTGTATTATATGTTATTATTGCTAATCTCTTACTATGCCTAATTTATAAATGAAACTTTATCATATGTTTGTATATATGTATGGGGAAAAACATAGTATATATAGGTTCAGGTAGTATCTGTGTTTTCAGGCATTTGCTGGGGGCTCTTAGAATGTGTTCCCTGCAGAGACGGGGAGACTCCTGTACTAAATGCCACCCATGAGGTTTGATGAGTCTTTGGATGATCTCTGATCAAGCTGGCAGAGCATTCATGTAACTCACAAGGGCTCCTTCCCTTCCGCCTTTAGCTGTAATATAGAAGGAGTATTCATTTGCATTCAAAGGGTGATAATGGTCTAGCATAGGTCTCTGCTGACAGAAGACCACCTGTGGTCTTCTAGGTAGACCTGTAGATTTTAGGTGTGGGCTGGAAGGCCACCGACCTGTGGAAGACCAGAATTTTCCAAGAAGGGCAAGTATTTGCATTTCCACGTGTTTCCTGAAGACGAGCCTCCCTCTTCCAGTTTCTGAAGTTGCCAATGGCAGGCTTTGCCTGGCTCCCACGACCTTCCCGCCACAGAGGAATGATTCAACCAACATCGCTAAGTTGGCAGGCCTGGGGCTTTCCGTTCCTATTAATGTTGACAGCTCTCCCTCCCATTCCTACCTGAGTATGGCTATTTGACAGGGTAGAAAACTGAGGTGCAGAAGTGCAATAACTCACCTGTGGTGAGACCAGGATGGAAACCCGGGGCTATGAGGCTCTAAACTGTGATCCGCTTTAGCGCAGAGAAAGTTAAATAGAAAATTGGACACCAGTGACGTGTGACAATAGGGGTGGTTGAAAGACCGTACCAGCGATGAATGTGGGACACATCAGAGAGTTAATAACAAAATAAATGCATGTGTTACGTAGAGTTTTGTGCAGTTTATGGAAAGGTATATGTGTGGTGGTTAAAAGCCTATGGTCCTGGGATACCTGGCTGGCCCAGTTGGTAGAGCACGTGACTCTCAATCGAGGGGTCATGAGTTCAAGCCCCGCAGTAGGGCATGGGGCCTACTTAAAAAAAAGACAGGGGGGCGCCTGGGCAGCGCAGTCGGTTGAGCGTCCGACTTCAGCCAGGTCATGATCTCGCGGTCCGTGAGTTCGAGCCCCGCGTCAGGCTCTGGGCTGATGGCTCGGAGCCTGGAGCCTGTTTCCGATTCTGTGTCTCCCTCTCTCTCTGCCCCTCCCCCGTTCATGCTCTGTCTCTCTCTGTCCCAAAAATAAATAAATTAAAAAAAAAAAAAAAAAAAAAAGACAGGTACCTTGGTTAAGTGTCTGACTCTTGACCTCAGCTCAGGTCTTGATCTCAGGGTCATGAGTTCAAGCCCCGCGTTGGGCTCCATGCTGGGCATGAAGCAGAAAGAAAGAAAGAAAGAAAGAAAGAAAGAAAGAAAGAAAGAAAGAAAGAAAGAAAGAAGAAAGAGTATATAGTCTGGAGTGAAATGACCTGGCTTGGGGTGCCTGGGTGGCTCAGTCAGTTGAGCGTCTGACTTTGGCTCAGGTCATGCTCTCACAGTTCGTGAGTTTGAGCCCCGAGTTGGGCGCTGGGCTGATAGCTCAGAGCCTGGAGCCTGCTTCGGATTCTGTGTCTCCCTCTCTCTCTGCTCCTCCCCTGCTCATGCTCTGTCTCTCTCTCTCCTTCAAAAATAAATTTAAAAAAATTAAAAAAAAGAAATGACCTGGCTTCAAATCCTGGTTCTGTCACTTTGTGACTTTGGGCAAATTACTTAACTCTCTCTGTGCCTCAGACAGTACATATTTCATTGGGTTGTTGTAATGACTAAGTAAGATAGCATTTGTAAAGCAATTAGAATAGTGCCTGGCACATGGTAATACCACAGAAGTTTGTAATTACTGTCATTACTATTGCATTTGGTCTTTACTGTTATTATGTATGCTATTTTAAAGACAGCAAAAAGGAACTTGGGAGGTGAAGCAACTAATCCAAGGTCATGGAGTCCGTCAGTGATAGACCAGGCCAGAACCTAGGTCTCTGCCCTCCCGTCCAGGGGGTTTCCACTCCTAGCACTGTCCCGCCCCTCCACCTTACTAAACACAGCAGAGGGGTCATCTAAGGGCTCAGCATGTCTGTGCAAGAAAAGGCGGGTCCAGGCACAATTTACGCTCTTTCTTCCTGAGAACAAAGGAGGGATCTGTGCAAAAGAATTTCAGGAACTTCAGAGAAGCATGTGAAACATTCCAAGACAATTCAGTCCAGTTCCATCCGAACATGTGAGCCTATTTTCCCAATCTCCCTCTCTTCTACTCCGTCCTAGACCCAGCATCACATCACCGTCACCTGTCTTTGGACGTCTACAGGAGCCTCCTATGAGGCATCTGCCCTCTGACCATTCTCACCAAAGCTGAAGACACATTTCTAGACATAGGCCTGATCAGCTTTGTTCCCAAGATGGCTCCCCACAGCTCTAAGGACTTGGGCTGATCTCCTATGGAGCAGGGTGGAGCTGGGCTTTCTTCCCACTTCCTGCTCAAGCTGCATACTCCCATTAGATGGCACTTCTTCAGTTCAGCACTGCATTTGTCATGCAGTATTGTAATTGTGCTGTGTTCTTACCTATATGTCCCACTGGAATCTGGGCTGAGGGCAATTGCCCCGTCTGGTTTCGGGATTATGCTGGGCACCTAGCACAGGGTCTGCGATGAGAGTTACTGATCCAAGATAAATACAGGTGCTGGTTCACACTGGGCTTGCAGATGCTGCTTTTGGCCATGGCCCAAGAAGAACCTGTAGGTAGAGAAGACAATTATTAAGGGCAGAAGCATTAGGAACATTCTGAGGGATGGCAAGATTGGTTTAGGGGGCCAAGAGGAGGAGAAGGCAGTACCATGACTATGGGAAGGGAGAGAGATGGAGCTTAGATGAGGGAGGAGAGGGGGTTAAGATAAGTAGACAAGGAGACCATTAGACTGAGGTGGCTGTAACGCCTTATAACCACAGAAGTGAACCCAAACCCAAACCGAAGCCAGAGTCAATGAGCTGGATTCTCAGAAGATGCAACTTAAGAACGAAGCACAAACAGGTTTTGCCAAATAAGTCAACCGCTTATGCTACAACCAAGCAAATAATTTCCTTGCTTAGCTTCCTGTCTTCTCTATAAAATCCTCTCCTCTAGGTCCTGTTGGAGGAGCGCCCCCAACCATCTTTGGATTGGCACTGCTTGATTCCGATGCCAATGATGTATGCTCAAATAAACCCTCAAACTGTTGGTATACCTCAGTTTGCCTTTTTACAAAGGGATTACTGCAGGGGAGAGGAGGTTACAGAGTGATTAGGTTCCAGAGTAGGTGGGTGTGAATGACAGCGACCAACTATCCTGGTTCGCCCAGGACTGTCCGTCCTAGCTTTAAAACTGAAAGCCTCGCATCCCAGGGAACTCAAGGCAAACCTAGGGACAGGGAGGGGTGGGGGAGGTCACTCTCGAGTGGAATCGACATTACCCTAGTTGCCAGAAGTTTTGGACAAGGGCAACTTCTCCCTTGAGTTATGAGGATGGTAGAGAGGTAGAGAAGGGAAGGATCAAATAAAGTGTATGGGCTTTGGAACAGGGCAAAGCTCTGCTTCTTTGCCGTGTGATCGTGTTGAAAATACCCTCGCAGGCCCAGTTTCCTGTAGTATGGGGATACTTAAACGTTTAAGACTGAGCCACGTGAATGCGCCTACTCCAACTGTGGGCTCATACGTAGCGTTAAATTTTTAAATTCCTTTCTCTCCTCACTTTTGCCGCTGCCCTCATCTCCCACTTTTCAACCCTCCCTTTGTCTTCCTTAACCTTTCTTTCCTTGCTTCGTTCTCCGGGGCCAGCCGCTCCTCAGTCAGCACCACCCACCACCAGGGGGAAGAGCGGAGCCAATAAAGATGGGTGCCCCTCTAGCTCTCCGAGGCGAGCTCTCTATGGTGCCGCGCGCGGGGTTGGGTGGGGTGGGCGGGGTTACGTCACGTGACCCGGGTGCCCGGCGCCCGCGTCGCCGTCGCCGGGTTCCGTCGCTGCGTCGTTTCGCTACCTTGACACCTGAGACGGCCGCCCGGCGGTCCTGCGGCTTTCCGTCTTGCCGCTGCGGGCCGCGAACCGCGGCCATGTCCCGAAAGCAGGCGGCGAAGGGCCGACCGGGCAGCGGCAGCCGGAAAGCCGAGGCCGAGCGCAAGCGGGACGAGCGGGCGGCGCGCCGGGCCCTGGCCAAAGAGCGGCGGAACCGGCCGGAGTCCGGCGGCGGCGGCGGCTGCGAGGAGGAGTTCGTCAGCTTCGCCAACCAGCTGCAGGCCCTGGGGCTGAAGCTGCGGGAGGTGCCGGGGGACGGGTGAGGCGGGCCCGGGAGCGCGGGAGGCGGCGCCGGGGGACGCGCCGGGCATGGCGACCGTCGCCCGCTCTCGTCCAGTCATTCATTCAGGCGGCGCCGGGCGCCACCGCTTCCCAGTGCGGGGGGTCCGGTGGCGGGCGAGGCGGCGAGGCCCCTCCCGTCGGGACGCTCGAGTAATCCCCAGTTGCCCTAATGGTGGCAGAGGCCACGAGGAAAGTGTGAAGTGGTCCTAAGAGACAGCACTGGAGCAGGTGTCCTTTAGATCGGTGCCCGGGAAGGCCTCTGAGAGGTGACATTTAAGCTGAGACCTGGAGGAATGAGATGGAGCCCGTCCCTCGAGGAGCAGGACAGCACGTAGGGCCGTCAGAAAGATGCTGAGACACGGAGAAAGAGGCGAAGCCCCACGTGGTGTAACGCTTTGCCCCTTTCGATTCTTACTGTTCGGTGTTGCCCTCCTTTTACACTCGGGAAATTAGGTCTGTGAGGGCCTGTTTACTGAGCAGAAGGTGACTTCTCTAATTCTTACTTCCACGGGCCTCACTTTCTCCTCTGATGCTTACCCCAGCTTGCTTGGGGGCTTTGACCGGAATCTAGGGCCAGCTTTTTTAGGGAACACAGGCTAAATAAGTGGGGTGGGAGGGAGAAAATGGGGAAAGGGAAGGGGCTATGGATCCAGGAGCATGGATGGCAGAAGGAAAAAGGTAGGGGAGAGGGGGAGGAGAACAGCTAGCATCCTCATTGCAGGGGTAGGTGAGAGGGAGTCTGGTTACCGGGATGTGTCACTCTGGAAGAGACAGTATTAATAACAGCCTGGCTGTTCTTGTCCTTGCCATCATTTGAGGGCTCAGAGAGGGCAGAGGGAGGAATAAGATGGAATTAAAGGCTGTGTAGAAGTGCCTGACTTGTTAAGCATGGGAACGAGGGAAGAGAGTGTTTTTTTGGATTTCACGTTACATTGTGGCTCGTTAATCAAGACTATGAATTGACCCCAATTTATGTATCCCACCTTTCCTACATATGCTCAATGCTTAGACACTTGGCTTTAGACCTTGGTTGCGTTTGACTCACCACCACCTAGCATAGTGCCAGGTACATAGAGGGCACTCAGTGCGGTTCTGTCGTATGAATGAATGATAAAAATGCCACGGAGGCCCACTAGACCCTCAGCTGGGCCTCTCACAAGGACATGTCCCCCCTCCCTCCCTCCCTCCCTTCCTTCCACCCTCCGTCCGCCTCTCCCTTCCTAACTTCCAGAGCAGGGGAGAGGGGCAGAGGGAGGGAGGGAAGGAAGGAGAGAGAGAGGGAGAGAGAAAGAATCTTAAGCAGATTTCACATTCAGCATGGAGCCGGATGGAGGGCTCGATCCCATGACTCTAGGATCATGACCTGAGCTGAAAAATCAAGAGTCGGATGCTCGCTGACTGAGCCAGCCAAGTGCCCCTCAAAGGAACATTTTCTCAGTGGAGTCACTACAATTAAAGTCTTGCTTTGCTGTGTCTTGCTTTTAGCCTAGTACCTTGATTTCACCGAATACAGTTTATTAACTCTTCTGGGCCTTACTTATCCTAATCCAACTCACAAGCACAAGACGCTGCTGTATAAACCAGATGCCAGGAGACCACTTTACACTGGGATTGGGGTGGGACTGTTCCTTGTGTGGAACTGCATTGTTGGTGTCTGTCATAGTGGACATATTCTCAGCGTCAGGGTGTCCAGGGCACCGAAGTACTCAACACAAGGTTGCTTATGAGTAGAAATTGCAGCACAGCGAATTGTAAAATCTCGAGGGAGCTTTCATAATGCCATGGGAAACTTTGGGGCTATTACCTCTACTCTGCCCCGCCCCCACGAGAACGTACTTCTTTAGTTAATTCAACAAATGTTGGTTGAACAAGGTGCTGGGAATCCATTGCTGACTAAAATACTGAAGGAGTTCACAGCCTGGTAAGAGATAAACGTATTAGTGGGCTCAAACATTTTGGTCTAGGGATCCCTTTACCCTCTTCAAAATTACCCAGAACTCCAAAGAGCTTTGTTTATGGGTCATAACTGTCAACACTTACTGTATCTGAAAGTAAAATGAAAATTAGAAACAAGAATACACACATTCCCTTAACTGTCAGAGTGATAACCTCATGTATCAGGGAGCCTCTGGAAATCTTCACTGTACAGTTGTGAGAGAATGAGAAGAAAAAGATAAGTCACACCCTAGTTTTGAACTCAAGAATACCTTGAAGGGGTCTCAGAGATACACGCACTCCCCCCCCCCCCCCCCCCAAACTGGGCCACACTTTGAGAATGGATAATATAAATCAAGTCCAGTTTGGTATATTTTTAAATTTTTTTTTAACGTTTACTTATTATCAAGAGATAGACCGTGAACAGGGAAGGGGCAGAGAGAGAAGGAGACACAGAATCTGAAGCCGGTTCTAGGCTCTGAGCTGTCAGCACAGAGCCCCACGCGGGGCTTGAACCCACAAACCGCGAGATCATGACCTGAGCCGACGTCGGACACTTAACCGCCTGAGCCCCCCAGGCGCCCCAGTTTGATATATTTTTAACAGTGACTGATTATAGTACCATTGAGCAGGAAGTGGCCAGCACTCCCTGAAGGGATCAGGAAGGCCTTTTCATTCATTCAGCAAATGTTTATTGCAACTTACACTGTGCTAGATGCCTCTCCGAGGAGGTCCTACTCAGACTGGGTCATGAAGGACCAGTAGGAATGTGCCAAGAGAACACTTCAGGCTGAAGAGTAATGTATGTACAGGTATAGGAGCACGTTATTTTTGAGACATATCAAGTTGTTTAGGATGACAGAGTATCAGGTTACAAGGTAGAACAGTGGCAGCGAGACTGCAGAGGCCAGCTTGCCGGGAATGTTCGTGTCGCTCCCTTCCGAGGCCCCTGTTCTTGAGACAGTGTTAGATAAGATGATAATGATAATTCCCTCTGTGTGAGTTCCAGGAAGCTCCCCGCTTTCTGTTCACAAGTTCTTCCCATGGGTACCATGAGACGGACTGTGGTCGGCCCTCTGGTATTGTGACGCTTTTGGAGATGGTGATGACAGCCTTTATCACCGTGCAATGGGTGGCGTTTCCTGTGTGTGGGATGGGTTAGTAGCCATCAATAGAGTCTGTATTCATATTCATGGGATACTCTTGGTGAAACAGAATAAAGTTATGGTAATACTAAAAAGTCAACAGCCTCCACTCTTCCATTCTAGTCCGATTCCAATATTGAGTGGCCTGACATAGCATCTCGCTATGGAGGCATAATCGTTGTAGGCAGTATGGTACTTACAGCATCCTCGAACCTCTGAGTGCTTGGGGACAAATTAGCCGGTGTCCTTTAATGTAGCCTTTACGTGAGTTGAGTCAATTAGTAGAGTAATCACAGAGCTATTTTTAGGGTTTTGTAATGCATCATGGGCCACCTTCATATTTGTCATGTTGTATGGACCCACATAAATTACGTTGTTTCAAAACAAGAAAGAAATATTTTAACCTTGGTGTTGTCCTTAAAAACATGATTGGCTCTAGTGTGAAAAGAATCTCTAATTGGATTAGGCAGTACAATAGCATCTGAACTGTATCCACTTGCATCTACTAAATGTTGCCCTAAATTACATTACTAATTAGTAGTGTTCTAAAATTAAAACATGAAAGAATCACTAATTTTAGCCATTTATCTCTGTCCTAAACAAGTTATTTTATTTTTTTTTACTTACAAATTTTTTTTTAATGTTTATTTATTTTTGAGAGAGAGACAGACAGAGGGTGAGCGGCGGAGGGGCAGAGAGAGAGGGAGACACAGAATCCGAAGCAGGCTCCAGGCTCCAAGCTGTCAGCACAGAGCCCGACGCGGGGCTCGAACTCACGTGCTGTGAGATCATGACCTGAGCCGAAGTTGGACACTTCACCAACTGAGCCACTCAGGCGCCCCACAAGTTATTTTATTTTTCTAATTTTTATTTTGTTTTTATAATCCTAGGATTTTAGTGATGGAAGGATCTTCACACATCATCTTGTGTAATTATCCATTGGTACCTGCATCCCCTGCACAGCAGCTCTGTGTCTAGCTCAGTGCTTTTCAGCTGTGGTGGCACAATAGAATCACTTTGGGAACTTTGGAAAAAATACAGTGTCTGAGCTCTCCTAGATCAGCTATTAAAGAATTTTAGGCACTGGGGCCTGGTTATTGGTAACCTTTAACATGTCCATAGGGGATTCTGATGTGCAGCCGTTATTGCAAACCACTGATTTGGAGTCTAGATTCTAGGCTAGTGTTTCTCAAACTTTAGAATGCAACAGAATCATTTGGGGGAGCTAAATTGGTAGATTGCCCCAGAATGTCTGACTCAGTAGGCCTGGGGTGAGGCCTGAGAATTTTCATTACAAATAAGTTTTTAAGTAGTCAGAGATAACACTTTTGAGAATCAGTGATCTAGACCAGTGCCTGTCCGATAGAAATAAAACAAGCCACTATGTAATTCAAAAATTTTCCATTAGCCGTGTTAAAGTAAAAAGAAATAGGTGAAACTAATTTTAATATATATATTTAAGCCACCGTTTATTCAAATATTATAATCCATCAACGTGTAATCACTATAAATATTTTAAATGAGATATTTTATGTCTTTAAAATACTGTTAAAAAAATCCAGTGTCTTAACAACACATCTCAGTTTCGATTAACCACATTTCAAGTACTCAGTGGTTACACGTGGCTATTGGCTATGTTTTGTACAGCACATAAATGTAGGCAATTCCTGAGGATTGCTAACAGATAAAAATTTACAAGATCTTTGGTTTATAGTCTGTTTCCATAGAGCTAAAACAAAGGTTCCTCTCATTTGCCCCAATCTGTGTCTTTGGAACTCTCATGTTTTAGTTTTAGTTTTATTGTACAGACACAGCATCCCTTTCATCATGACACATAGTTGGAGGTGGCTGTCATGTCCCCCTGAGCCTTCTTTAGGCTAAACATCACTAGTTGTTTATGCTTTTCATATTATGAATGAAGTTTAAAGCCACTTCTCATCTGAACGTGTCTCTCTTAAAATGTGGTAACGACAAATCACGTGTAGTACTCTGGCAGTAGTCTGACCTCAAAGAAGACTACAAAACCTGCCCCTCCACCCCACTCTGCCCTTTCTGAACATTTACTACTCTTTTTTTTTTTTTAATTTTTTTTTCAACGTTTTTTATTTATTTTTGGGACAGAGAGAGACAGAGCATGAACGGGGGAGGGGCAGAGAGAGAGGGAGACACAGAATCGGAAACAGGCTCCAGGCTCCGAGCCATCAGCCCAGAGCCTGACGCGGGGCTCGAACTCACGGACCGCGAGATCATGACCTGGCTGAAGTCGGACGCCCCTGAACATTTACTACTCTTATTGCAGCCTAGAAGGCCATTGTAGTTCTTTCAATGGCCAGAAACACAGAAACAATATTGTCTCCTACTCAACTACTGAGCTCAACTACTGAACCCAGAACTCTTCCATGCTACTGAATGTAATTGCTTATTTTTGGGAACTCAAATGCAAGGCTTTCCATGTATCCTGATAGTGCAGTGGTTCTCAAGCAGAGATGGTTTCGATGCCCCCCTGAGACATTTGGCAATGTCTGGAGACAGTTCCGGTTGTCACAAGTGACAGGGAGGGAGGCGGTGGTGGTGCTACTGGGATCGAGTGGGTAGAGGCGAAGGATGCTCCTAAACACCCTACAGCGTACAGGACGACCCCCCACAACACAGAAGGGTCCCAAAGGTCAGTAGTGTCGGGTGGAGAAGCCCTGCTGGAGGGTAACGGGGGAGGGTGTGGGCTCAGGAAGCAGTGGGGATCTTCTCGAGGGCCTTCAGGTTCTGGTCGCACTGTTCTTATGGCTATCATGAGTGCCCTTGCTGGGCCCCCGAGGGTACCTACTACACTCACGATGTAGCGTTTGCTCACTTTTCCCATGTCACCAGAAAAGGAAGTGATTTGTCTACCTTGATTTTTCCTTTCGACTATTTATTTGTAGTCAATTCAAGTGAATATAGAAAAAAAATACAGAAATACGTTTAACAGGTACTGCTAATTCCACTATCTAGGGATAACCACAGCTAACATTTTGGTGCCTGGGTCTGAATCCTGGGTCTGCCATCTACTGGTTTTGTGACCATGGATAAGTTACCCTAGAGGGATAGTGTATCAGTACCCATCCCATAGAGTTGTGAAGACCAACCACATCTAATGCACATGCTGTTTAGAACAGTCCCTGGCACATCGTAAGAGCACTTTAAAAGATGGTTTCAGGTGTTCTTCTTTGTATACATTCGTGTGTATTTCTGTGTCTGCCTATATAGTGTGTAGGTGAACTTGGTCAAGCTCATGCAGTGTGCCTAAGCCTATTTTTTTGGCTTATGTGGAGAACACTTGCCCATATTACTGAAAGTTCTTAGAAAGCCTGTTACTTTCTGTAGAATACCATGAACTTAATGTAAAATAACTAAATACGTAATTTGGTGCTGAATCACACCTCTTAAACAAAATTCAAGAATAGACTGACTAGAGGTGGCAGGTAGTAATGGTTTAAAGAAGTTTGAGAAACACTTAAAATTGAGAATGTTTCATCCATTACCTTACTTTGTTTTCCTGTGGGTGAAAATATCTTAGCAACAGACACTTCAGGGTAGTGTATAGAAATGGCTGTATTCCAGTCTGTTCTAGAATCTTGCCTCAAATTGATGCATAGTTTCTTGGTTTCCAGTTTATAGAATCTGCATTCTTTACATTCTCTAATTCCCCTTTGCAAATATATATATATATATATATATATACACACACACACACACACACATACATATGTATATATACATATATACACTATATATATATACACACACGTTTATATATATACACGTGTGTATATACACACACACATATATATGTGTGTATATATATGTATACATATGTATATATATACATATACGTGTATGTATGTATATGCATATATACGTATGTATATGTATGTATACGTATGTATACGTATGTATACGTATATATGTATAAAGATCCTTATACGTTTGAAGAAATTCCTGCCTTCTCTATAGCTTTCCGTTGAAAATTCACTTTTCTGAATTGAAAACAAAAAACCTCTTTCTCCTACACATTTAGGTCTGAAGTTCTAAAGTGATGAGTTTATATTTTGTGATTAGACTATCCTAGATTTTCATTTGGAAGAGTAAACAGTTCGGTGCGAGACTGGGCAACAGTTTGGCTTCTGAGTGGCTTATTTCCTTAGTTTTAAGGATGCTAGATTGTGGTTGTCTCACTTCAGTTTCTGTGTATCTGGGCTCTGTGTTTGTGATACAGTTTGGAACTTTAGAAGCCTTTGAGGGGTTTCTAAGTAAAGATAGCTCTTAAAGTTTATTACCAGCATCTTAATTAAAAAAAAATTTTTTTTAATGTTTTTATTTATTTTTGAGGCAGAGAGAGACAGAGCATGAGCAGGGGAAGGGCAGAGAGTGAGGGAGACATGGAATCGGAAGCAGGCTGCAGGCTCCGAGCTGTCAGCACAGAGCCCGACGCAGGGCTCGAACTCACGGACTGTGAGATCATGACCTGAGCTGAATTTGGACACTTAACCAATGGAGCCACCCAGGCGCCCTCCAGCATCTTAAGTTTAGAAGCAAACAGTGTGTTTTAAAGTTTCCATTTGGCGGGAATAGCATTGTGGCTCCCTGGATGGCAGGAGAGGAGCCAGGGAGGGGAGCATCGTTCCATAGCACAGCTGTGTGTTGTCCTCATTTTCTCCACTGTGTTTGTAGCACTCAGACAGGATGTAGAGTTCAATTGCTTGTATTGGGAACTTGACAGATTGCTATCTTTTGGGTATTCTTTGTTAGATGAATGATTAGTTAGCCTGCAGCTTGTTTCAGAAGAGAAGCACTAGATACAATTTATTTTGGAGGGGGCTCTAGGAATCCCAGTCCTTGGGTGTGGAATGGCCTGTAATGTCTGGACCCTGCCTTGAGGCCGGTAGCGTATCACCACCTCCAGGTGTTGAAGCAGCTGAGGCCCCGGGAGTCAAAAGTCTCCTGAGTCAGCCAGCTGGTAAGTGGGGAATGAGGTCCGAGTTTGTTGCCTCTCAAGAAGGTAATGTGGTTGAGTGCCTGCCCTAGTGCTCTCCACACAGCCTTTGGGAAGAATCCTGCACTGTCAGAGTTGAGGCTTTATCTCTGTGTGAAGGATTTCCATGGATGGCCTAGCCATCTGAGTGTCAGATGAACTTAGTTCATTTTTAAAAGGTCTTGACTGGGGCTCCTGGGTGGCGCAGTCGGTTAAGCGTCCGACTTCAGCCAGGTCACGATCTCGCGGTCCGTGAGTTCGAGCCCCGCGTCGGGCTCTGGGCTGACAGCTCAGAGCCTGGAGCCTGTTTCCGATTCTGTGGCTCCCTCTCTCTCTGCCCCTCCCCCGTTCATGCTCTGTCTCTCTCTGTCCCAAAAATAAATAAACATTGAAAAAAAAAAATAAAAGGTCTTGACCGACATTTTTGTTTTGATAGCAATTGCCTGTTCAGAGCACTTGGCGATCAATTGGAGGGACACTCCCGAAATCATCTCAGGCACCGACAAGAGACCGTGGACTACATGATAAAGCAGCGGGAAGATTTTGAACCCTTTGTAGAAGATGACATTCCTTTTGAGAAACATGGTAGGTTCACCGTGGGACACTGGATCCTCCAGGAGTAATGCATTGGGTAGTTAAATCCATCAGCGTTCCCCGCCCTCCCAGCCAGGGGTTTGATGACATAAAATATGGCATTCATTTATGCAACAAGTATTTATTTGTTTGCTCTGTAATAGGCAGCATGCTAGGCAGTTGGGAACTAGTAGGTTTAGGCGTATGTACCTTTAATAAAAATGATGATGTTAATTAACCTGAAAAGTTGTTTATGACTTCTTATTCATTGGGGGGTAAAAGCAGACTGTAAAATATATGTAGACTGATCTTAGTTTTAAAAGGTATACACACTAGGAAACACACTAGGAAAAGTGGACAGATACTAACATTTTATGGTTGTTGGTGCTTGGCTTCACTTATTTTCCACTTACTTTCCACTCACTTTCAACAGCTTCTATAAAGGAAAGGTAATAAGAATACCTAACTTACAGGGTTTTTGTAAAGCTTAAATTAGATAATACAGTTAAAATAAGTTCTTAATAAATGTCAGCCATCTGGGGATGGTGGGACTAGGACTATTTTAAATGATCTTCTGCATGTTTTTCTGATTTTTTAAAAATGACCGTGTATTGCTTATATAGTCAGAAAAAGCAATACTCATTTCTCATCAAAAACCCAGACACAACCACTCTTCTTTGGGGCAAGTGAGTTAGTGATTTAAATTAGTTTCTTAATATGCTCAAATCTAGTAGGAAAGTACATATGAGCTTTTAAACTTTAAGGATCTACTAAACTAGTGTTGATATATTTAGTGTTTTACAACTAACATTTTCATCACACGGTCAGAGTCTTATCTGTCCCGTAGGAGGAGGCAGAATTGTTCTGTGTTTTAGGGAGCTAAGTCTGGAAACCATGTCAAGAATGGATGGAGAGAGACTGAGAAGGAGGATGAGTTGGAAGGCTCTCCGCATTGGCCCAGTCAAAGCATAAGAGGGTCTCCACCAAGGCAGCTACTGGGGATAATGACTAGGGTCCAGACCGAGACCCGGTTTGGCAGTGTGGCTGACAGGTCTCATCGGAGGTGGGGAGGAGGGGAGAAGGAGGAGACCAAGGTGATTCTGAAGTTTCTGCTTGGGGAATGGCTAAGTAGCTGGAGGCTTAGCCAGATAGAAGACAGCAGGAGGAAGACCTTTGGGAGGGAAACTATCCATGACCCCAAAGCCTTTCTCATTCCTCACTAGCGAAGGGCTCATTCACTAGGTACCAGCAACAAAAGAGACACAGCAGCAGACTCCCCCTCCCCTCCTGCCCCCACCCTTACCCCCATGAGTAGTTCGTACTCATGAGTAGTTTGACCGAGTTCTGACAGTTCCTCTCCCTGGCTCACCTTTGGGCCTAGCAGGTACCAGTTTACCAGACGGTCACCTGTTGGCAAGTGTCGGTTTGTGGGGCAAGGTTTGTAGTTGAGCGTTCTATAAAATGACTTGTGTCATTAGTCTGATGAAAATAATCATTTTGGATGAAGAGAGTTTTTAGTTGGTGACTCGAAATTCCACTCTGAATACCTTCAGCAAAGGTCACGTGGTAGTTTGGGGGGTGTGGCAGGACAAGGAACTCAAACCCATCAGTTGCCAGTGTGACAGTGCCTACAGATGTCCAACGGGAAGGCGTGTTTTTGAAATGCCACTGTGTTTGCCTGATGGTTGGTCGGTGCTCTGGAAGGATCTGACATCACAGGAGTTGAGAGGTGGCTCTGATGGCCACAGCAGAGAATGGAAACCGAGAAGTCTGCACTTGGCATTTACATGTCGGTTGGAGACTATACTTACTGTTACGTGTTTTTAATGCCTGTCTACCTTTTTATACTGTGAGATTCTTGAGGGACACGGACTGTGTCTGTCCCCCAATTGGTAGGCACTCAGAAGATCTTTGTTAAGTGAATAAGTGAATGGTTCACTTAACTCTTTAGGGCTTGGTTACCCTTGCCTGTGGCTGTATTTTTTAGGACTATTCCTTTCCTTCAGACTCTGGCTTCTCCAACTGTACAGAGACCTCCTCTCCCTCTCTCTTCATACCCCGTCATCCATTACTACCTCAGTGTTTTTTCTTTCACTACTTCAACCTCGTAAAATCAAGCCTCTGTGGCCATTTGCCTAGATTTCTTCACTACTTTTTGGACTGGTTTCATTGCCTCTTGACCCCTTGAGTTTGTTTTCCACATTGCAGCCAGAGTGGTGATCTGAATGTACTTATTTATTTATTTATTTATTTATTTATATGAAATTTATTGTCAAATTGGTTTCCATACAACACCCAGTGCTCCTCCCAGCAGGTGCCCTCCTCAGTACCCATCACTCACACTCCCCTCCCTCCCACTCCCCATCAACCCTCAGTTTGTTCTCAGTTTTTAAGAGTCCCTTATGGTTTGCCTCCCTCCCTCTCTAACTTTTTTTTTTTCCCTTCCCCTCCCCCATGGTCTTCTGTCAAGTTTCTCAGGATCCACATAAGAATGAAAACATATGGTATCTGCTCTTCTCTGCATGACTTACTTCACTTAGCATAACACTCTCCAGTTCCATCCACGTTGCGACAAATGGCCAGATTTCATTCTTTCTCATTGCCAAGTAGTATTCCATTGTGTATATAAACTGCAATTTCTTTATCCATTCGTCAGTTGATGGACATTTAGGCTCTTTCCAGAATTTGGCCATTGTTGAAAGTGCTGCTATAAACGCTGGGGTCCAAGTGCCCCTATGCATCAGCACTCCCGTATCCCCGGGGTAAATTCCCAGCAGTGCTATTGCTGGGTCATAGGGTAGATCTATTTACATCTTTCCCCTAGCTTAACCCTGGGGGCAGCTCCCCACTGACCGAAGGATGAAGTCCAGACTCTTCAGCTCTTGTTTCTTTACCCTCGTCTCTTGCTGTTGCCACTGTGTCTTCTGCTTCCCCCACCCCTCTGTCCCCCTGCCACTCAGCAGTGTGAGTTCCTGCCATACTGTAAAGCATGCAAGCTCATTCTCTGTCTCTGTCTCCGTCTCCGTCTCTCTCGGCTCTGCTTGGAACATGATCCCTTCCTCTTCTGTCTCCTGCTTGCTGTTTGGAAATCAGTGCAGTCGTGTCAGCTGAGAAGCTTATCTGATACCCTTACCTCCCCCTCCCACTACCAGACGGGCTTGAGGTCCCCATCTGGAGTTAGCCAAGCGGCAGGGTTTGAGGGCACGGTCTTCCACAAGATACCAACTGAAAATCTGGGGTTTCCAAAAACCACCCTGGGGTTCGATGGTTTGTTAGAAAGACTCAGAGAACTCAGTGAAGGTGATTGTACTCACAGTTATAGTTTATTACAGGGAAAGGATACAGATCAAAATTAGCCAAGGGGTAGAGTCTGGGAAGGTTAGACAGTCACAGAATATTTATTGTCAACCAGGGAACTCACACAAATTTCCGTGGTTGGAGTATTGGGGCTTCATTATGTAGATATTATTGATTGGTTGCCTGAGAATCCAGCTTCCAGTCCCTCCGGTCTTCCTAATACCACACGGCCAGAGAGGCCCATCATGTGTCACCTCATGAGCGCAAACTGTCAAGTGTGGCTAAGGGACCCATCCTTCTTGCGCTTGGGACATTTCAAGGGCTTAGAGGTTTATTACCCAGTTGCCAGGGACAAAGGCCAGATATCTCTGGTAAGGCCAAATTCTTTACCACACATCCCTTTCCGGCGGCGCTTACGCAGTAGTGCCTGTCTGTTTATTTGACTCCCCGCTGGCTGTAGACTCCTTGAGCTCAGACCGCGACAGGCTGCGTCATGGGGTGGCCAAGAGCCAGGTCTTGGAGTCAGACTGCCTGGGATGAAATCTCAGCTCTGCCACGTCCTGGCTCTGTGACCTTGCGCACAGTTATAAACTTCTCTGAGCCTTGGTTTCCTTATCTGTAAGATGATGGATAATCTCTTTCAGAGAGTTTTGAGTAATAATCCAGAGGCGAGTGGAGGAGATGTGCTTACTACGTAATAAGCACTCATCAATGCAGATTTAAGATTACTCTGGATCTCGTTGCATTTCCGGTGTCTTTCAGAGCTAGGGATGTAGGAGGCATTCCATAAGCATTTAATGGAGGAAGAAAGGAATCCGTTCTTTATGAATGACTGGTTCTCTCCCGAGTAGCACTCGATGTACTCCTGTCCGACCGGCTGAGGTCCTAGATTCTGGCAAAGCTGATGGACTTCTCAAATGTATACTTTGTCTTTTACCATTTGGAACTGAATAAATAGCGAAGCATGTTTGCATTTGGATCTTTCCGTTATAAAGGCTTCATTTTTCTTTCTTCTGTTTCTTTGCAGTGGCCAGTTTGGCAAAGCCTGGCACATTTGCTGGCAATGATGCGATTGTGGCCTTTGCAAGAAATCATCAGTTGAATGTGGTGATTCATCAGCTTAATGCCCCTTTGTGGCAGGTGGGTCGCCTACTGAGGGATTTATCTTAAGCTCTTATTTATAAATTCGCTTTGGGGGTGTCCTGCGATGGTGCAGCAGGGTCACTTGGACCACAGGCTTAACCAAGATGGGAAGCTCCCGGTGGCTTGGACTTAAACCCCAGGCCATGTACAGATGGAGTCCGAAGTATAATTCAGGGACCTTTAAAATATCATTCAGCAAGGTGATGGGGATGATGCACATGTTGTGATGAGCACCAGCTGTCGCACGTTAAGTGTCAGATCGCTAAGTTGTACGCGTGAAACTAATATTACGCTGTATGTTAACCAACTGGAATTTGAATTAAAACTAAAAGAAATAACCATACATGTGTGAGAGAGAGAGAGAGAGAGAGAGAGAGAGAGGGATATACATATATATAATTCAGCGGTCAGTTAACTGGGTAGTTTGAGGGTAGAGAGCCTAATGTGGAAATACTTTAGATGACTTTGTTAAAAATATTAAAGGGGAGGTCGAGAGGATTAGTGCAGACACGTTCTGGTTTGGAGTATGCCTATTCCACGTGTATGTTTTGTTTTTTAGGTGGAGGGAAACACAAACCAGATGTACTCAATAAGCCTTGCTAACAGGGTTCTGAACAACAGAATTTATTTCATGGCTTAGGATGTCAACCTCTGTTTCCGTGCTCTGCTCAGGCATGCGTAACGGTTTTAATAGTTTTCGACGGCAGATAAGATTTTATGACAAATGTTCAAGATGGCCTCCCCACCCCTGTTGTGAAGTACCTGTCCATTCAACTGTTTTCACTTTTCTTTACCTTTGGTATCCTAAATTAACCTCACCTCCCCCAAACGGTCCATCGGACCACGCATTCAAGTATGGAAGGTCACAGGTCCAGGGGAAAGGGTCTCCAGGCTACCACCCTCTTGTGCTGGCCCCTCGCATTCAGGCTGCTTCTTCCACTTTGCGGCTCAGCTCCTAAAGACGGTGCCTAGGACTTCTGTCAGTCCGCCTTCCCGCCACTCCCCCATTTCTAACCGTTCCTTTTTTTCAACGTTTTTTTTTTATTTTTTTATTTTTTTATTTTTGGGACAGAGAGAGACAGAGCATGAACGGGGGAGGGGCAGAGAGAGAGGGAGACACAGAATCGGAAACAGGCTCCAGGCTCCGAGCCATCAGCCCAGAGCCTGACGCGGGGCTCGAACCCACGGGCCGCGAGAGCGTGACCTGGCTGAAGTCGGACGCTTAACCGACTGCGCCACCCAGGCGCCCCAAACCGTTCCTTTTTTAATTAGCTGAAACATGTTAATCATAGAAAACGGTGACATTTCAGAAAAGCCCGTCAGGCAAAAATCACCCAGAGTCACGTTATCCAGAGATAATCGTGATTACTGTTAATATGTTAGGCGTTCACATAAACTCTGAAAAACAGCTGAAAACATTCATACTTAACCGACAAGAGACGTGTCACCATGGTTTTAAACATATTTTAAGCACCTCTGTTAAAAAAAAATTACAAAAAGAAAGCACCTCTGCACATGTAGTCATGTCCATATGCACGTTTGCACAGTCACGTATCGCTGTATGTTATTCGTCTCATAAAGGCAATGGTGACTTTTTTTCTCATTTTTTTCCATAGACCACCTGCACGCATATATTCCTCTGAAAGTGCTTATTTCTAGCCTCTGCTCGTTAAAAATACAGTTTATAGAGATACAACATATAGGTAGCAGAATTCACCCTTCTCTAGTGTGTACTTCAGGTGTTTTGAGAGACACAGGTCCCACTGTGAACGTATGGTGGGACATTTCCGCCAGCCTAAGAAGTCCCCTTATGCCCCTTTGCGGTCACCCGTTCCCTCTCCCCATTCCTAATGCCACTAATCTACGTCTTGTAGTTTTGCCTTTCCAGAATGTCGTACAAATGGAAGCAGATAGTCATTTGTGTCTGTTGTAATATTCTTTAATGAAATTATGTTACAACAAAGTAAATTAGACACTCCGTGGATTGGTGCAGGGTGCAGTGAGCAGGAGGGAGCCAGTGACTGTAGGTGTCGTTTTGGGGGGGCAGTGTTGTAAGATGTACCGACCCCAGGGAACGCTCTCATGTTTTGTGAGCCTCTCTCTTTCTAGGGAGGGTCTTTGAGCCAAGAATACTGGTTATGGCCTTTGTTGTCCCAAGTTTTGGTCATGAAAGTTTGACTGTTCAGCAGAAGTCACTGAAATCATTTGAATATTTGAAACATTTGAATAATGACCCTATTCTTGGAGAAAAATATTCTGTGCCAACTTGGGAACCACACAGCCTGCCTTTCCCTCCATTGATAACTATTTTTTAAAGTTTTTAAATTAGGTGCTTGTAGAAGATAATTCTGCATAGTTAAAATTTTATTTCCAAATACATTTCTGTAGTGTTCTTTCTCATGGATTGCTAAACATGGATTGCTATATATATATATAGTTTTTTTTTGGCGGGGGGAGAGTGTGTGTGTGTGAGCAGGGGAGGGCCAGAGGGGAGGGAAAGAGAATCTTAGGCAGGCTGCAGGTTCCACGCTCAGCACGGAGCCCGATGTGGGGCTCGAACTCATGAACCATGAGGTCACCACCTGAGCTGAAATCAGGAGTCGGATGCTTGGGGCGCCTGGGTGGCTCAGTGGGTTGAGTGTCCGACTCCCTGATTTCAGCTGAGGTCGTGACCTCATAGTTCGTGAGTTCGAGGCCCACATGCTACTGGTGTCAGCTGTCAGCCCAGAGCCCACTTCGTATCTGTCCCCCTCACCCTCTGCCCCTTCCCCACTTGTGCTCTCTATCTCAAAAAATAAAACATTAAAAAAAAAAAAAAAAGTCGGACGCTTAACCAACTGAGCCACCCAGGCGCCCTGAAACATATTTTTAAAATAAGTATATTTGCTGTATGATGGAGCTCTGTGCTGGATCTCCCCCATCTTCCGCCTCCCCAGTGAGGCATCTTACACCATTTAAGAATTGAAACTGTGTTGGTTGCTACTGTCTTGGTTAGGAGCTCTCGCGTCAATAACAAGTGGGCTCGCACTCACACCATGGAGGTGCTGAAGCCTGCGTGTTTTCCTGGTGTCCCAAAGGAGCTTAGGCTTCTGTGAACCATAGAGGCGTGGGTAGCATAGAAAGTGATACATAAACGTAACGTAGTATCTTACTACCTGTGACTTCCAGTAAAAACAAGAAGGAGGTGCTGATGTTTTGGAGTTTTAACAAAGAGACAGTTACTGGGCTCTTTAGGGGCCGGATTCCGAAAAACTTCAGAGTTTCGGTGGAGGTGGTGGTTTTCTGGGGGGCATACCCGGGCTGGACCGTCACCCCATTCTTGTCCGACTGTGCTCCATGGGAACATTCACAAAAGACTGCCTTGGGAGTAATGCCTTCAGGGTTGGGCGCAGTGGTAAGTACAGCTGGACTACATACCATTTTGTTTCGAAATTGATTTCAAGTCGGAGATTTTGGAGTTTGTTCTTGTTAATGTTTCTTACTATGTGGTTGATGGAAGATGCTATTTTTGTTTGAATGATGGGTAGAGGTACTGTGAAGCCAATAAAACCTAAATGTATGGTCCCTCATTTTTATGGTCCCCTTTCAAGGTCTTGGGAGGAGTTGTAGCAATTTAATGTTCGTAATTTTGTATTCTTTTTCTCAGAGCCCCAAGTTGTTTGTGCTTCAAGCTCCACAAATCTGCATCCTGGAACAACCCTTCCATCCTGGAAGGGGCCTGTGCATTTGAGGGGCTGATGGGTGCCCACCCCCACCCCCCAAACTTGAGCTTATTTAATTTCATTGTAAATTTGCCCCTGACTTTTGATTATGTGTTTTCCTATGGATGTATTTCTGTATAGTTAACCATTAAGCACATGGAAGCATACTTACACGGCCACATGGGTAGGAAAAAAGAGAATTCAGAAATTGCCTAAGCATTTTTTTTTTTTTTTAGAGAAGGTCTTTATTTTTTCCCCACACATTAAATCAGAGGCTCAAAACACAGGGCCCACAGTCCAGCTGTGTAGCACCAAATCTCTTGTTGCAGTCAGATACCTGTTCTTCCGGTCCAGCCCTCTGGCACATCCCGGGCATACCCTGAATTCGTGTCTGCATAGAGCCTGTTGGCTAGCCTTCCTAGACAATCCAGGTGGCGTTTCTCTCCCCCAGTAGACACCTTCCCCATCCTCGCTGGCATCCCTGTCCCCTTTCTTTTGCCTGCAGATTCGTGGCACCGAGAAGAGCAGCGTGCGGGAGTTACACATCGCGTATCGGTGCGGAGAGCACTATGACAGCGTTCGGAGGCTCAATGACAACTCGGAAGCACCTGCCCATCTCCAGACTGATGTGAGTGAGGCCTCCGTGTTCTTTTGTATTCTCAGCGCTGGTGAACTGGGGCAGGAGCTGCGTATCCTGCAGCTAAAACCAGGGATGTTTTGTGGAAAGTTGTCTTTAAGAATCTGTGGGCTTGGTTAAAAAAAATTCTTTTTTCAGCTCCAGTGAGATTGATAGATACAATTACAGGTCATTCTTTTGCTTTCCCTAATCGTCTTTGATGGCTATGATTGCATAAAATAGAATTTATATAAAATTCTGAAATTACTTTTGTGACTTAAAATTAATCCATGCAGGGGCGCCTGGGTGGCTCAGTTGGTTAAGTGTCCAACTTTGGCTCAGGTCATGGTCTCATGGTTCGTGGATTTTAAAGCCCACACATCAGGCTCTCCGCTCTCAGTGCAGAGCCTGCTTTGGAACCTCTGTCCCCTCTGTTTCTGCCCTCCCCCTGCTTGTTTTCTCTCTCTCTCTCTCTCTCTGTCAAAAATAAAATAAAACTTAAAAAAAAAAATTAATCCATGCTTCATATCTGAAGTTTGGAAAGTATAGAAAAAGTGAAGAAAATAAAAAAGTGCACAGGGTCAACCACACTGGCAAAATTTTTGTTACTGTTCTGGTGTTTTAGATATAGCTGTGTTTCCTTTCCCACTCTGTTCAATTAACATGATTTCATGAGGCTCTTCTCACATTATTACATGCTTTCTTTGTAATTTTAAAAAATAAAGTGAAATCGCTCTTCCATTGTTGTTCCCCTGCCTGAACGCAACCCGCGTTATCCGTAGGTCATCAAATCTCCTGGAGAGATTTTCCCCATGAAGCAAACGTGTGCGTGCACGTGCACGTATGTCGCTTTTGCGGTCTTTCCACGCGCTCTGCCCCCGATTGTAAGCATCCTACACAAACTGTTGTGCGCCGTGCTTTTCAAATGGAAGGTATCTTGGAGTCTCACTCACCGCAGTGCATAAGGAGCTTGCTAAACCGTGTTCAGTGGCCACACGGCATTCTGCTGCGTGGATGCACTGTCACGTGTTTGACCAGTCCCTTTGGCGGACTTTTAGGCGGTTTTCACACTTCCGCTTTTAGAAGGAACATGTGGTGCCTTATATATACGTCTTTTCACGCTTGTACGAGTGCGTGTGTGGGATAAATTCCTAGAAGGTCCTCACTGCATCAGAGGACGTGTGTATTTATAATTGTGACAGGTATTGTGCAGGCTTTACCAGTTTGCACTCCCACTCTCCGCGTGCGCCTCTCCCTGCGTCTTCGCCAGCACAGCGTATCACATTGGCGAACCTCTGTCAGTTCCGTGGAAAGGATTGTTTTCCTAACAGTTTTAACTTGTGCTTCTCTTATTAGTGAGTTTATGCTCTTTCCCTGGGTTTGCAACCTATTTGTATTTCCTTTTTTTCGTGAACTGTATTCATTTTCTTTGCCCACATTTTTCCCTATTCAGGTTTTTTGTTTTTGTTTTTTTTTTT